CTGAGCTTATCTTTGAAAGTTTCTAACATATTTAGATATAAAATACCTAAACTCTATTTTGCTCATTGACTTTTTTGCTTGAATCGTAATTTCATTTCGTAAAATGAAGTTCATTTCGTATTTCATTTCATTCGATTAACTTCTTCCGGGTCAGATGCTGACCTCTGTCTCATGCAATCCATGCAGATTCGGTTGAAAGAGATAACAACTGTTTCACCAATATATAAACAATTCTTCTTTAATCTTTCGTCAGTATTGTATTGATCCATACTTTTGTGTTATTTGGTTGATTCAAAATGTCAGATCAGACGTCGGAGAAGTTGGAGGGCCAGGGAGGTGCAGATGGGGAAGGTGGCTTGCATAAAGTGAAAAGTGAAAAAGAATTGCAGAAGGAAAAGAAGAGGCTGGAAAAACTAGCAAAGTTTGAAGCTAAAAAGGCAAAGAAAGCGGAAGAAGATGCTCAGAAAAAGAATAAACCAGATTCTGAGGTTTGTCAAATGAAATAGAAATTTATCAGTTTATATTATTTCATTTCACATTTTTTCAAGTAGGACATGGGACAAACGATATTCTAACTAGATAAGGTGTCCGGTCTTATATTGGTGACAAATTAAAAGCTGATCGAAATTAAATTGATAATTTTCATTAAATCATGTTAAGACGTACCACTTTGATTGGGTAGTCAGACTATTCTCTCCCTTACCAACTAGTTTATGAATTAAAGTTCAAAACCTCAATTGTAAATTCTACTGTACATTTGTATATTGTCAATATTATCATAATGGTTTAAAAAAATTGTGACACATGCATACAGTACATAAAAGACTTGTAAAATGTTTTCATTGCAGAAAAAGAAAGTTAAAAAGGAAGAGAAGACTGTAGTAACATATGATGTACCAACTGCTAAGGGGGAAAAGAAAGGTAATTTTAACAATGTAAATTATGAAAGGATGATGATTATGATGATGATTATAATGATTATAATAAAGTCTTTATGTAAAGAGGCTAGACAGTTGCAACAACCGCAATCTACCCTGTGAGCCTCTTAAAATGTACATTATTATTTACAATCATACAGTTATGAATAACATGAAATATTATGCATGATGGCTCTTCTATTTTTAACTTAGATTGGTTATTTTAACAGATGTTTTTTGAATACTACAGGAACACATGTAACATTAAAACAAAATCTACATTATTTCTGAACACCTTCTGTCTTGTTACATACAGTCTATATAAGTTTACTTGTTTATATATTGATAGATACTCAGTGTGCCATGCCAGAGGGATATAGTCCAGCATACGTAGAGGCAGCATGGTATGACTGGTGGATGAAGGAAGGATTCTTTAAACCAGAGTACAATGTATGTACTGGATTACACGTCGTTATCTATTATTTCTTTGTTAAAAGTAATGAAATTTGGAAAAATGTTTATTTTTTAAGAAATATCTATATGTATATATTAGTAATATAGCAGGAAAAACAAGTTTGAGAAGACTTAAAGCATGTTCATTTACTAGTTTATAATACATCTTTAGTTTATTTAAGTAATTTACTGGAATAATATACTTGCTGGACTGCTCTCTCTCGTGCCTTAATGTTAAGATTGTTGACCTCCAATACATGTATGATACCCCTCTCTGACTTTATTATTGTTAGATCCCCAGAGTATCAATTGTAACTCTTCCAGGACTGGACAGAAAAGCAGGGAAGGTGAGGGGGGGGGGTAATTCTGTAGTTCAGTGGCTCTACTCGAGTACATGCGTACATGTATTATGAAAATTATTCTTAAAGTACAAAGCTTGTATATTACCATTATAACCTTAGAATGTCTAAATGGATCAAATAAGCCAGCACTGTAGAATTAAATAGCTTTAAAATAGCTCTCAAAGAATTGACTTCTAATTATACACTTAACAATGCTCATTCTTCAAACTATAGTATTTATTGTAAGTTATTTTGAACATTAAAGGATGCCCAGATGGATACAGAGAAGAGAGGGATGTTTATGATGGTGATACCTCCCCCGAATGTGACCGGTTCCCTACATCTTGGTCACGCCCTTACAAATGCTGTAGAAGACTGCCTCACTAGATGGTAAATTATCTTAAGGTAGACCATGGGTAATGCATTACCTCCACTTTGAAGAGTATTCAAATAGGCTAGAATCGCTTGTAAACTACATTGAAATTGAGGGGCGTGGGTTCAATCCCCAGAAGGGGCAATTTTTTTTTCTTTCTTTTTTTCTTTTTAACATTATTTATGTATCTCTCTGATCCCTTATGGAAGAAAAAAAGTTTGATTTAAATTATATAATTATTTTAGGTATTTTTTTTGCTAAATAATGCCAAAATTTATAGCAAATATGATACCAGATATTTTCAAAGTTCGATAAAATAAAAACTACACGGTAAAAGTATTTTATATTTCGCATGATCAACTAATATACCTTGAGAAAATTTAGGCAAACTTTGAAAACAGACCCTCATTTCGATAAATTTTAGGGATATTTTGAATAAGGCATTTTAGATAGGGAAATGGTAAAATTAGTGTTAAAAGTGGGTGGGGTAGGGTAACATTATTATACGTATTAAGAACATTTTGTTTAGAAACAAACATTTTGCTTGTGTAATGTGTTACCTGAATGTTGTTATTTGTTTCTTAACAATGAGCAATAGAAAAACATTTTTTATAATGATGATATTACAGATTATTTACAGTTTCCTCATTTCTGAAAATAAGCCCTTCTAATGGCAAAGTCTTAGTTCAGAAATATATCCATAACTCATAAACCACACGGTAAATTTTATTTAAATTTTGCATACAGGTGACCTTGAAGACATATAACTGTCCTATGTTGTCAATTTTACAGTTCCTTATGGTGCCCATTACCCATGGTCTACCTTTTATTCTATGTTAGTATCGGAGTAATATCCACTAAAATCATTTTTATATGATATTAATTTTTCAGTCGTGCATTATTAAATTTATATCATGTGTAATAAATATATAAATATGATTTCATGTGTAAGACTGAAAAAAGGATTTGAGCACCACACTAAATACCGTTTTTAGGTATATACCAGACAAGGTGCTTGAATGATTAAAAACCAAAATCTTGCCTTTTCAACCAACAAAATAACTTTTAAAGGTCTAATTCATCTAAACACCGATTTATATAAGATAATGAATGAAAAATGTAAGAATCGGCAAGAAAAAAAAGAAAAGATATTTGTCTTTTTTGTGCTCATGATTTCTGCCAGTGTCTAGAGGTACTGCTCCAATCCTGTATTGAGTTAAATCTTTATTTTATCTAGGTATTCTTTTTCTTTCAAGTTCAAAAGTATGACTGTGCATATAATATGATTTCCATATTTTGAAGAGGGTGAGAGACCCTGTTAAAATACTGAATCCAGATCATAATTGGGTTAGGTTCCAGAAATACCGAGACCATAAAACACTGTGTCGGCATAATTGAACTAAAGATATCATCTAAATTTTTCCAGGGATCGAAATTCTTTTCAGAGCCACTCGTCCTACATGTCAGGCACATATCCAATCAACTATGCATTCAGTGCTTTATAAAGTGCACAAATTATACATAACCTAAAACACAAGCTTTGTTTCCGGTTTTCCATTGTTAAATGTAAACAATGTGATTTTGAGAATTCTAGCTTTCAATTACATCGGCAAATTTTCATGTGCAGATTTTGTACACATCCTGCATCTATGTCTACTCTTAAATACGAGCGGATAAATGGAATTTTCAATCTTTGATTTCAAGCCTATATTTTATTTACAGGCACCGCATGAATGGTAAGGTATCATTGTGGAACCCAGGCTGTGACCATGCAGGTATTGCCACACAAGTTGTGGTAGAGAAGAAGTTGTGGAAAGAAAGAAAACTTACCAGGCATGATCTTGGTAGAGAGCAGTTTGTAAATGAGGTCTGGAAATGGAAAAATGAGTAAGTTTCTTAATTTTTATATACTCTTTATTTAAACATTATTATTCAGCTGAAAAATTCTTGATTAAGAATTCAAATTTTGCATAGAAAACAATAATGGTAAGCTTAGGCTTTTAGAGTCTCAAATCAAAGATTATTTCATGGTATACTGAGAATGAACAATCACCATAGCAAAATGAGGTAACATGTTGTAGATCTATTGCTATGCAACCAGTTTTAAGGTTATGGGAGCAGTAAATATATGAAAATTATTTGCAATTACTACTTTACATTGACAATGCAAGCTGGTATCTCAAGGACTACTGAAGGGATTTGGTTGAAACTTATTTGAGGGCATAATATGAGGTTACTGTCCAAGGCCTTAACAGCTTTTGTTCATGCAAATTGTTTATTTTGATACATACAACGGTAAATTGTTTTTGTAATTCAGTAGAAAAATAAATGTGTAAAATGTAAAATAATATTTCTTCATCAGAAAGGGTGACAGAATTTACCATCAGTTGAAGAGACTGGGAGGATCCTATGATTGGGATAGAGCATGTTTTACCATGGATCCAGTTAGTATAAAGTTATCTCCTATTCATTGCTAAAGTAATATAAGTTACCTCCCTTTTATGTACTGAAATAAAAATTACCTCCCTTTTATGTACTGAATAGTAAAAATTACCTCCCTTTTATGTACAAAATAGTAAAGAATTACCTCACTTTTATTGTAATGTATCAAAAATAATATAAATACCTATATGTGTTACTAGATCTTAAACTGTTACGTTTTGTGTAGACCTAATAAGTAGTTTGTGCCATATTTGTAAAGGAATATTTATTTGTGGATGTTTTGAGATTGGTAGTAGAGAGAGAAAAGAAAAGAAAAAACATCACTAAATTACCATTATCTTGATTTATCCATAATTTGAAAGTCTTAGGTTGTATGCTTAACATTGTTTTCATCTGAAAAGCCCAATTTGAATATTCAATTATTGTATTGCACTAAATGCAATGGTAATTTGGTATTTATTAAATGTCTATCACACAGAAATTATGCCGAGCTGTAACCGAGGCATTTGTCAGACTTCATGAGAAAGGATTGATATACCGTAGCGTAAGACTTGTGAATTGGTCGTGTACGTTAAACTCTGCGATCTCCGATATAGAGGTAGACAAGAAAGAACTGACCGGACGTACATTGTTACCTGTACCGGGATACACGGAGAAAATCGAGTTTGGAGTTCTTATCTCATTTGCCTATCCAGTAGTTGATTCAGGTAAGTTTTGTGTTTTATACTGAATCTGATCTATTATCCTGACTTTGTGTTTCATTTATGCCAAATTTAGTACCAAGATTTGACACATATTGTGTGTACTATAAAAAAGATATTTGATTTGAATTGTTTATTGGAAGTAAACTGTACTTTTATTTTAAATTGAAATGATCTCATTGGTTAGAAGCTAATGACAGTAAATTATTTTGTGTCATTAATTATATGCTTAATTCTTGAAACAGTTTTAAGACAGAATGTCTCTGCTACTTAATACACTTGAATATTGAACATAAATAGAATAAAAGAATAAAATGTTCCGGAACAAAATATTCTACCGTTATTTTTAGTATGGGTTTTACCATTTATTGATGATTTTATGCATGCACCATTCACGCTTAAGTAGATAAAAAAGCATATTTATATCATTCTGGTATGTTTGAAAGTACTCTTCAAAATTCATCCAGTATTTTTTCAGCAGATATAGAGCTTTATACACTTGAGATGAATTCACTGATCTGTACTCTTACATGGTCTCATAATAAAATTGATCTATCAGGCCTTGTTGTATTATTTAGCGTGTAACAGCTACAAATTCAACATTAATTGTGAGGTAACAAATATTTGACATATATATAGGTGAGGAGATTGTAGTAGCTACAACACGTATTGAAACGATGTTAGGTGACACGGCTGTAGCCGTACACCCTGATGATGATAGATATAAACACATGCACGGGAAGTTTGTGCAGCACCCGCTGTTGGACAGGAAAATTCCAATCGTTGCTGATGAGTTTGTAGAAATGGGCTTTGGAACAGGTATTCAAATTTAATATGATTATTTGAAATATGTTTGAACTACATAGGAAACATAATTATATAAATGAGCCCCGTCACAACAAAACCAACATAGTGCGTTTGCGACCAGCATGGATCCAGACCAGCCTGCGCATCCGCGCAGTCTGATCAGGATCCATGCTGTTCGCTGTCAGTTTCTCCACTTGTAATAGAGCTGGTAAGCGAACAGCATGGATCCTGATCAGACTGCGCAGGCTGGTCTGGATTCATGCCGGTCACAAACTCACTATGTTGGTTTTGTCATGACGCGGCTTAAATATCACCTGGATGATTTAATGATGGTATAGAATTCCTTGAAATTTGCTTCCTAAGAACATCTAATTGGTCATTTGCAGAGACTGGTATTGACTGGTTAGTTACCCAGGACACCAGCTGTCGAGATATGACTTATAATGTGTTAAAAACTGTGTTGTAACCAGGCAGACAAACTGCCTAACATGTTGCATTGATGCTCCTAAACCTGTCCCCAGTTATTATTGTCTCTTTTGTTTTACTCACATGTTTAAAATGTATTTTGCAGGAATTGAGATTTCAATAATTTCCATGTCTTGTTTCCTATGAGTGCACATTTTCCATAACTATTCACCTACTGAGTCAGGAAACAGATTACATGACTCGGTGGTTTTCAGTCTTATGTCTATATCTAGGGTGTACTGCAAAACTGCTGTAACTTATATAAATTAAAGAAGAAATTTCAACAGTCTTGAGATCAACCCCTGATTTGTATTTGTATGCCAAAGGGTTTTACGTCTGGCCAACACAGGTTAGGTCATAAGGCTTTAATGGTGGAGGAAGACCTCAGAACCACTTTCGTAAGCTAGCTTGATAGCTTCCTGACATTAAAGAAATAAAAACAACATTAATTTTAGAATTATTGAAAAGGTGAAGATTAATTCAAAAGTTCAAAGTAATACTTGGGTATTGAAGAAAAAGTTTGAATGTTGCAGGTGCTGTAAAGATAACACCTGCTCATGATCACAATGATTACGAAGTTGGTCAACGTCATAAACTACCTCTACTTACCATCATAGATGATAAAGGTTTCATTACATCAGACTGTGGCAAATTTTCTGTGAGTATACATTCTTCAAGATTGTTTTTTAGGGGATGCCGCATTGTTTTAATCTAGATTTTTGTTTGTTTTGTTATAGTAAAAATAAAAACTCTTGCAAGTTTGTTTACATTTGTATGAACAATAGTGTAAGCTCTAAAGACAGGAAGTAATGTTCCGTTTTGGAAATGGACATGCAGCTAGATAGGTAATACTTAATAATGTAAAGAAATATTATGTTAGATGTAAACAAGATGAAAAATATTTCTTTCTTTTTTTGTGTAGTTGAATGTTATTTGAAAAACAACTTTATCCATTTTTAATTAGTTATTACACTATTTTTAGTACCCACTGTTGTTCTAGTAACCTCTTTGTAAGGTTTATTGTGCTAGAATTTAACTTGTTATTTAGTGATAGCGTGGCTGTAAGGAACTATTTTATAATGTGGGGAACTACTTTTTGTATTTAGGGTATGAAGAGGTTTGAGGCAAGGAAAGCTGTATTGGAGGCTTTAAAAGAGAAGAAATTGTTTAGAAACACTGTAGATAACCCTATGGTTGTACCAATCTGCAGGTAAATTGTACGCCAGTCTTTTCTATGAAACATTAACGTGACTAGATTTTGAAAATAATCGTTGACTGTGCGTCTGTGTAAGAAACTGTGAAAGTAGGAAACATTGTTAATTTACTATCTATTTTATATTACAGATGATAAAGATAAATTTATAAAGATTACATAATCAATACAGTTATCTTTTCAAATAATAAAAGTAAATAATTAAAATCCTAAAAATACCTTGGTAATGTTGTCTTCAGTTCTGATTTTTATACAAGGGTGACAGGTGTAAAAAAAGTATGGCCATCTTTGTTAGTGTATCTATATATGATTTTATATGTAAATGTAATAAAGTTATGGTAAATATTTCAGTCGATCAAAAGATGTGATAGAACCATTGTTGAAGCCCCAGTGGTATGTTGACATGAAAGATATGTCGGCAGATGCTGTTCAGGTATATCTATAGATTGTTATGTAAGATTTTATTCTGGTGTAAGTGTATACACAATTTTAAACAAGGTCATAAAGCATGATTGTAGGCTATTTGAAATAATATCTTATTGAAAGTACATCTGAAATGAGCCAGGTGGCACAACCCCAGGGTGTTCACTAGCCATGAAATCCTGAGGGTCATTTTGACTAAGTTTTGCTGACTACATGGTCAAATCCCCATGATTTTAATAGAATTTGACTCTCCAGTTAAAATCAGGGTTATAATCAGGCCTTTTGGAAATTTGAAGGATGAAAGAGTCATTTAAAGGGCCAAATGGACACCCTGCAACCTCCAAGTGGAAATCATATGGGCGAGTGGTTTTTCTGCTATTTCCAATATAAAGGTCTCTCAGCTATGATGAAAATATATAATATTGCAAATAAATTTCTTGAACTTTGATTAGCTTTAACACTTTGAATACCATGCCGTATTTACAGTACAAAAGAGTGCATAAATAACAGTGTATTTCTACATCGTAGAATGGTATCAATGTGTGTGCACAAAAGTTATTATTGCGTTGTTTTTATGCCCCCGCCATGTAATGGCCGGGGCATATAGTGTTACCCTGTTCCGTCCTTCCGTCATTCCGTCCTTCCGTCATTCCGTCATTCAGTCATTCCGTCATCATCAGTTTCCGTTCATTATCTTAGTAACGGTTGCACATATTCAACTCAAATTTGACATATGGATATGTCATGAGAAAATACAGGTCAAGTTCGAATTTGGTCATGGTTCGATGATTTTTGGCAGAGTTATGCCCCTTTTACTTTGAAAATAATATGAAATTTTCAGTTTCCGTTCATTATCTCCCCAACCGTACAACACATTCAACTCAAATTTGACACATGGATATGTCATGAAACAATACAGGTCAAGTTCGAATTTGGTCATGGTTAGATGATTTTTGGTAGAGTTATGCCCCTTTTACTTTGAAAATAATATGAAATTTTCAGTTTCCGTTCATTATCTCCCCAACGGTACAAAATATTCAACTCAAATTTGACATATTGATATGTCATGAGAAAATACAGGTCAAGTTCGAATTTGGTCATGGTTCGATGATTTTTGGCAGAGTTTTGCCCCTTTTACTTTGAAAATAATATGAAATTTTGAGTTTCCGTTCATTATCTCCACAACAGTACAACACATTCAACTCAAATTTGACATATGGATATGTCATGAGAAAATACAGGTCAAGTTCGAATTTTGTCATGGTTCGATGATTTTTGGCAGAGTAATGCCCCTTTTACTTAAAAATAATATGAAATTTTCAGTTTCCGTTCATTATCTCCCCAATGGTACAACATTTTCAACTCAAATTTGACATATGGATATGTCATGAGAAAATACAGGTTAAGTTTGAATTTGGTCTTGGTTCGATGATTTTTGGCAGAGTTATGCTCCTTTTACTTTGAAAATAATATGAAATTTTCAGTTTCTGTTTATTATATCCTCAACAGTACAACACATTCAACTCAAATTTGACATATGGATATGTTTTTAGAATGCCCGGGCCCAGTTCTAATTTGTTCATTGTTCAATGATTTTTGGCAGATTAATGCCCCTTTCACTTTGAAATTAATATGAAATTTACAGTTTCTGTTCATTATCTACCCAACAGTGTTACATATTCAACTCAAATTTGACATATGAATATGTCAAAGGAATGGGCAGGTCAAGTTGGAATTTGGTCATGGTTCGATGATTTTTTTGGCAGAGTTATGTCCCTTTCACTGAAAATAATATAGATACATCTTAGGAATAAGCAGTTTAAGTTTGAATTTGGTCGTGGTTCAATGATTTTCGACAAACTTATCTTTCTTGAATATTGGAAAAATTTTGAACTTTCAGTTTCAGCACTCATACTTTTGTGGAAATATATGTAGCCATTATTTTGGCTACAAATATGAAATATGCTATTTTCAAAAGGTTAAGACTGAATAATTTCAGTGCCTTGAACATTGTATGGAAATGGTTTGTGTTAACATTGAAAAGTTTTAAGGGCTTTGAACTTAAAATGAAAACAATAATTTGTGCAAACAAATTTGGAACTAAATATTATAACATCTGAAATTTTGGCTGCATGCGGGGGCATCCGTGGCATGATGACACATTTCTAGTTTCTTATAAGAGATAGTACAAGAGAAGTGAATTTCCTTTTGAATTTTTGATTGCAAGTCACGAGTATTATATTTTTGGATTTTGTTAAGAACTTCTCGTCAATAACAATTAGCAATATTAAAATTTGTTATACAACTTGTTAATAGGATGTGGGAAAATACAGCCTTACTGACATAAATTTAACCCTCTCAAACTAGCGCCTTTGGTCATATTTATCTTATTCAGGCTATATGCTCCAGTATATCCTCTCAGCATTTTACTAATATTATATTATGCATACTTTATGTTGTATTGCAGCTTGTAAGAGATAAACAATTGAAGATTTTACCAGAAATGCATGAAAAGACCTGGTTTAACTGGCTAGAAAATTCAAGGTAATTTCTTATGATTATGAATGTTCAAATATTAAAAATTACATTCAGTTACCCATTTCATATGATGCTACAAATTCTAGAGATGAGATAAGATTGCTGTTTTAGGGAGATGTTGGCTGAACTTTAGATGTCAAGTTTATAGTCTCAAAAAAAGACTGCTATATTAAATGTTTACCTTGAAGAAGAGCCTTTTTTAAAGACCAATAAAAGAGTATAATATATGATATAATCTAGTAAGAAAAATGTGAAGAAGAAAAATTCTGCATATTTTTACACTGCCATAATAGATGCCCTGTGAATTAACCAAATGGAACAATAACTCTCTTAACTAGCACTTGATTCCAGTAAAACATGAGTAAAAAGTTTCCATAATAATTCTTGAATTACAAGTTTTCTTGCATCCAAAAACACTTTTTTGTCTATATGTCAAGTTAAAAAGATTAAGATTACATGGTATTTCAATATTTACCCATCGTTAGATAGTAGATACAAAAAGTTGACAAGTTGACCAATGGTAACACGCAATGGATAGAATGAATATTATCATACTTACCTTACTTGTATTATTTGTTTTTTCACAGGGATTGGTGTATATCACGTCAGCTATGGTGGGGGCATCGTATCCCGGCATACTTTGCAACTATAGATGATCCAAATATTCCGGCGGGTAAAGACACGGACGGACAGTATTGGATATGTGCCCGCACTGAAGAGGAGGCGAAAGATAAAGCTGCGACAAAATTTAACGTCTCGAAAGATAAAATCACACTTACACAAGGTAATGTTTGTTTGCGGAATGGTATTAATTGACATAATATTAATTAATTAAAACAAAAGAAAAAACATCAGGACCTGTGAAAACTGTTTAATGTTTTAAACTTGATATATGCAATTCTTGATGATGTGTTAGGAAAGATATTTAGGTATCGGCCTTGCTGAAATAAGTTTCACTTTGATTTGTTTATACAGAATTATGTCTCCCATACCTAGTTGTGCATATCGCCGGCACAAAATAAATTATTGCTGCCAGAGCTATAAATAGAAAAATTCTGTCTGGCTTTCACATGTCAAACTGCTGGCAGGATTTCAAACAAACTTCACAGGAGTGATGAGTACCATACTTAGTTGTGGGAGAAATATGCTTTTGTGACATAAACCGCTTCTTGTTTATTTTACATTTGATTGTTTATAAAGCTATAAGTTTATTGACACACTCAAAAATCCCGTCTTGTTTATTTTACGTTTGATTGTTTATAAAGCTATAAGTTTATTGACACACTCAAAAATCCCATCTTGTTTATTTTACGTTTGATTGTTTATAAAGCTATAAGTTTATTGACACACTCTGTAATTTGTTCCTAGAACCAACCATTACTAAGCAATGAGTGTAATGTTTCCTGCTCAAGGAAACAACGGCATGTCCCTGAATGGGGTTGAACCATGAATGTAACCATTGTGTATTTTTCAGACCCAGATGTATTAGACACTTGGTTATATATTTTTCAGACCCAGATGTATTAGACACTTGGTTATATATTTTTCAGACCCAGATGTATTAGACACTTTGTTATATTTTTTTCAGACCCAGATGTATTAGACACTTGGTTATATATTTTTCAGACCCAGATGTATTAGACACTTGGTTATATATTTTTCAGACCCATATGTATTAGACACTTGGTTATATATTTTTCAGACCCAGATGTATTAGACACTTGGTTATATATTTTTCAGGCCCAGATGTATTAGACACTTGGTTATATATTTTTCAGACCCATATGTATTAGACACTTGGTTATATATTTTTCAGACCCAGATGTATTAGACACTTGGTTATATATTTTTCAGACCCAGATGTATTAGACACTTGGTTATATATTTTTCAGACCCAGATGTATTAGACACTTGGTTCTCGTCAGCTTTGTTCCCGTTCTCTATATTTGGATGGCCAGATGAGGTAAATAAGTGTTGAATTATCCATTTATTATAAAAACTTGATCATAATTCTAGTGGTCCGCACACTTAGCTCAATAGGGAAAACATTTGATTAGTTCTTTAGGGGTTTCTGGTTTAATCCTTAGATGAGGCATAGTTTTTCTATGTCATTCGATATCAGACAATGAGTCTAATGGTCTTTTGTCTCTTCTCTCACTGCTGATTCAGAAATCATGTGAGATTAGTAGTTAATTACTGCTGGAGAAATTGGTAATTACTGGTTAGTTATCGAGGAAAAATTCTCACAAAATCTTATTGTTGTATTACATTGATATAAATTTAATCTGTTGGAAGCATAATGTATGTTTAATTTGAGTGACTTCTTGCAGATTTATTGTCCTTTTATGTTAGTACAGTAGCACCATTTCCAGTTTTAGGGACATCACTTATTTTGTGGTAAATTTAGCAGTTTATCCATTAAGTTTCTATCAATTACTTACATACTATATTATTACAGACCCCAGACTTGAAGAAGTTTTATCCAGGGTCACTGCTGGAGACTGGGCATGACATCTTGTTTTTCTGGGTAGCTAGAATGGTCATGTTTGGTAGAACATTGTTAGGTGATTTACCTTTTACTGAGGTAAGACAAAATTACTCTTATAATATAATGTAAGGGAATTTTTACAGAATGCAAATGAGAATTCAATTGTCAACAAAGTAACATGATGTTTTCATTTTAAAGTCTGATGCATTTCATTATATAAAAGCAATCATAATTAGAGGTGTATCCTCATGCATTGATAATTATAAGCATATTTACATGCAATGATAATTACAGGAACATGTTCATGTAATGATAATAAAAGAAAAAATCCTGATGTAATGATAAATACAGGAAAATCTTCATGTAATAATAAAAATTAGATGTATATCTTCTTGAAATGATAATTACATGTATATCTTCACATAATGATAATTACAGGTATATCTTCACATTATGATAATTACAGGTATATCTTCATGTAATGATAATTACAGGTATATCTTCATATAATGATAATTACAGGTATATCTTCATGTAATGATAATTACAGGTATATCTTCATATAATGATAATTACAGGTATATCTTCATGTAATGATAATTACAGGTATATCTTATTGTAATGATAATTACAGGTATAGCTTCAGTAATTACAGGTATATCTTCATTTAAAGATAATTACAGGTATTTCTTTAAAGCTTCATTAATTACAGGTATATCTTCATGCAATGGTGAGAGATGCTCATGGTAGAAAGATGAGTAAAACACTAGGCAATGTGATAGATCCTATAGATGTAATAACAGGAATATCTCTAGACCTTTTACACCAGAGGTTACAAGAGGGAAATCTTGATGAGAAAGAAATTGCCAAGGCTAAAGATGGCCAGGTAGGGTTATTTTACCTCCACATGTGAATTTTTGTGACAATAATTGTGGGTATGTGCTATCTATATAGAGCCATGTGAATGATTGTGACAATAATTGTGAGTGTATACAAATCCCTGAAGTATTATAAGACTTTACACAATTTGTTGATCAATATTAGCATTTTGATATTAAAATCCCTAAACATAACGGTGGACAGTTCCATTTTCAAAACAGGACAAGTTCATTATGAAAAGATACATTTGGCTTAAGATTTTTATGAAGAAATCTGTCCAAAAAAACTGGTATTCAAGTATGTTTTTATGATTATTTTCCTTGAGAGATAATTTGCGAGAAATAATTATTGAAGATTTCATATATTATGTTGAAGATGTTAAAATAATTGTCATAAACTGAATAATTTGATTGATGTTTTTATTGTGTTTTATGGGTTTGAGCCTTACTGGGTTCACAACTATGTTTTCTTACATGTCAAAAGTCTTGAGTAGATCCAGGAAGCAGATTCAAAGGTTGTTTTAATGATCTTTTAAGCTATCATTACATTGAAGTTAAATTAGGTATGCTCAAGTTAACTCTTAAAATCTGAAATATTGATGCAAACTGTATGTTTTGATACAGATAAATTATTCAAACAACTTTTCCTATTGGATATCTTTTCAGCTGGTATTTATTGAATTGATTATGAAAAATGAGTCAACATATTTTAAAGATTACTATTTTATTATTATAGAAACAAGATTACCCAAATGGTATACCAGAGTGTGGTACAGATGCCCTCAGATTTGCCCTCATCTCATACACAACAGGTATATTATACCTTAATCCTTAAAGGGACTCACCTGAGGTTTATTAATATGACAGGATTTGAAAACAAATTTCAAAAGAATTTTTCCATTTAATGTAGGTCCACCCCAATAACTTGAGTGCAAAATATTAGATTACTCATTCACCACGATTTCCTGAACATATATTCTAATTGTAAAAAAAAACAGCACAAATTCTAAAAGTATTGCAACACTTTTTACTAAAAGAATGGCACAAAAATTTGGTTTTCAAATAATTTTCGTTTAGATTTTTTTGTTATCTTTGCATATCTCTCTGTTTTAAGTGTCCCAGTTGATCTATGGTAGAAATTTTAATTTTATGTTTTTAATCTTTTGGACCTCGGTGGAGTTCCTTTAAAAATGATTTTTCAACTAACATGTTTTAAAAGTTACTTATAAGTAGTAATTTGATATCAAACTTAAGTTATCATTCCTTAGAAGTTAAAATGTACCTTTATCAAAGTTTTAAATCCAGACTAGATTAGAATTAAAGTTACCTTGAAAAGTTAAGAAAAAGAGTAAAAAAGTTCTTTTTGTAAAGAAAATTCTACTTTCACATTAAAGAGTTATCAATATAAATGTTTAATTATGAATATAAATGTTTCAGTTGTTTCCATTCAGTAATACAGTGATTATGGTAAGAGATTTGTTTAAATGTATTAATACATTATCATTATAATATTGCTATGGTTACAGGGCGTGACATAAATCTAGATGTACTACGTGTACAAGGATATAGGTTTTTCTGTAACAAACTCTGGAATGCAACAAGATTTGCTCTCACAGCCTTAGGAACTGATTTCAAACCCAAACCTTCAGCCCAGGTAGGTTACTATTTCTATATTTATAATGTACTTGAAATAATTTGAGCCACGTCACGACAAAACCAACATAATGCGTTTGCGATCAGCATGGATCTAGACCAGTCTGCGCATCCGCACAGTCTGATCAGGATTCAAGTAGTGAAACTGATAGCGAACAGCCTGGATCCTTGATCCATGCTGGTTGCAAACCCATTATGTTGGTTTTGTAGTGACGTGGCTCATTTATGATGCATGTAGGGGCACCTGAGGTCTTCCTCTGCCACTTATAGATCCTTTATGTTGTAATTAAGGATGTAACAACACTTAAGTGAAATATTATATATGTATATAATTATTCTTCAAAAACAATTTCCAAACATCCAAGAAAATATTAAATATGTACTGCAAATGTATAATTATATAAGTAATCATTAATATCAAATATATAGATTTCTTATTACCTCCCTTTATTTACATGAAATGTAAATTCAGTAATATCTTTACAAATAATGCTTTTTGAAACTTACAATGTCGATAAATCTTCATTTGAGCATCAGATTTATGATTTAAAACCATAAAAAAAATTGAGTTACAGGATTTCTTTAGCTGGAAAATTGCCATATGACCATTATAGTGTTTATGTGATTTAAAAACAAACAAAACAAATCAAACAGATTATCAACTATTATGATCATGTCTTCTCATAACGCAAAAGTATTGATTAGTTTAGAAAAACGGACTTAAAGTGGTTCAAATATATTTGATCTAAAAGTTACTAACTTATGACACTAGTTTGTGTAATAAGCAAATTTTATTTTATGAGTTCTGATATTGTCAGCCAATAATTGTATTTAGTGTGTTTTAAGTGCATGTAATTCTATGAAAATATATCACTTTGTTAATAAATGTTACTTTCAAATGCCCACAAAAACAGGCTATGTTAAATGAGATCCGTTTGTCAACTGGCAGTCTGCATTTGTAATAAAAACATCTGTGCCAGGCTTTGATAAGCTTTGATAAGCAAGCATCTTCTGAGTTATGGCCCTTGCTTTATCAAATATACAAAGCACTTTAATTGTGATCATAATTATATATGTAATACTTTATTTGATTTTATTATATAACAGTTGTGTGGTAAAGAGAATGAGATGGAGTTATGGATATTGAGCAAGTTGAGTAACACAGTAGAGTCGTGTAAAGTTGGTTTTGAGAGCTACGATTTTCCGACAGCAACAACAGCCTGCTATAATTTTTGGTTGTACGAACTCTGTGACTGGTACCTGGTACGTAACACTGATAAATGTCTCTTTTACCCCTTACACTGTGGGAACCAAATGTGATAATAACCCTTTACCACTAGTATAAAGCCAGCCAAGTCTGCACTTCTGTTCAATCCAACCAGGCTCTATACTGTTGGCTGGTAAACTCTGTGACTGGTACCGTGGTATTTAACTCTGATAAATGCCTCTTGTACCCCTAAAGCCAGCCCAGTCTGCAAATACGTGCAGTATAACCAGGCTCTATACTGTTGGCTGACCAACTTTAAAATTTCATCTAGATATCCCTAATATTGATAATAGACAGTCCCAAAAATGGAAGCTGGACAAGTTCATAAGCATGTTATGGGTAGGCTGAACTAACTTTTGATACTATTGCAGGGTAACAACAAATGTGGAATTTTTCTGATAAATATACAGTTCCTGTGAATTTTCTTTGTTTATTTGAAACTTTCTTAAATGTCTGAAAAATGATACCAAAAGCAATTATTTAATTAATTATATTATTTTTTGTTTAAAGTCAAATTTTGAATATTGCATGTGATATTTAATATTAGACCGGTAAAGTTTTGCTTTTTGTTTCAAAGAAAAAGTCGAGCTTTTATGATTGCTGCATTGTCTTTGTTATGTCGTCATGCTGTTAAATGTAACATGAACTTGGAAAACTTGTTAAATGTAATCATGACAAGGTGAAGTTGTTGGACAAAACTGAAGAGGCATAATTCTGAAAGCAGTATTTTTGGAGTTGTGCCCCTTTTTAACTTTTTAAAGAGGAGCCTAAACTCTGCACGCCATGCTCATTTTAATAGGAACTGTCTGGAAAATAAAATCTATGAAAATTTTTTTGAGGTATGAATTTCAATTAAATATCTTTGTTGACATCTTGTAGGAGAATATCAAGCCTATTATATACGGTTCTGATGAGGAGGCGAAGATAATTTGTCAGGACGTGTTATATACATGTCTAGATGTAGGTCTACGTCTGCTGCATCCCTTCATGCCATTTGTTACGGAAGAATTGTATCAACGGTTACCACGGCGATCTAGCTCCGACCCTCCGAGTATCTGTGTCACACCATACCCACTACCTTCAGATGTAAGTCTTTTCTTGTTTGATAATATCATGATTTAAAAAAAAAAACAATTTATTTATAATCTGATAATATATCCCAAAGATTAGTATACCTGTCTTTTAGGCAAAAACATGAGCATGGGTCTGTGAGATGGATATAGGAGATCTATATACATATATAGTACACACTCCTCATGTAGACAAAATAGTTGATACTTATGTACATGTACATTGCTCTAGTTCTAGTTAGTTTCATAAGGGATATCAACAAAAGTTTCATAGACTGATTGTCTTCAAAAACCATGGGTGATATTATCTGGTATTTAGTAATTTGATCATTTTGGCCATTTTTTTTTTTTTTTGTCTCTTATGTCTTATTGGTAGGAAACCTGGTTGTTATTTTTTTTTTAATTTTCCTGGTAGTAGTTTCATTAAATATTCTGTTGCTCGGTTATATGATTCCCAAAAATAAATGCAAATTATCATAGAACCTAACAATGTCTTGTTTTACCAGAATGATAACAAAGTATTTGAATATTATGCAGTTAACATTTTGATTATCATTTTATGATTAAACAAGTTTGACTATCATCCAAAATATCTAAATATAAATCTCAGACAAAAACTAACTTGCAGTGTTTTACAAATTTATCTCACAAAATAACTGCTTCCTATCGGCATTGTTCTGGTAATTTTATGTCTTTCCTTAGAATTAAATAGATATAAGATAGAATGCACATGGTTGTAGAGTTATTATTTTAAAATTATGTGAGCCGTGTCACGACAAAAGCAACATAGTGGGTTTGCGACCACCACGGATCCAGACCAGCCTGCGCATCCGCACAGTCTGATCAGGATCCATGATGTTCGCTATCAGTTTCACTATTTGTTATAGACTTTGTAAGCGAACAGCATGGATCCTGATCAGACTGCGCGGATGCGCAGACTGGTCTGGATCAATGCTGGTCGCAAACCCATTATGTTGGTTTTTTCGTGACACGGCTAATGTGAAATATTTCAGTGTCCTTGGAGAGATAACAAACTGGAGGAAGAAGTGGATTTCATACAGAGCATTGTGAAATCTGTACGGTCTGTCAGGGGAGACTATAACATCACCAATAAAATGAAACCAGAGTGTGAGTTATCTTTCTTGATACTGGGTTTTGTGTGATATACTTCAGACTGAATCATGGCTTTAAGTGTTTTTAAACAGAACTTGAAAACAGATCCATTCTATTGGCAAAAATGCCTAAAAAATTCCCAAAATGGTAATTGTCAGAAAATTGATAATAATTTATGAAAAATCATAATTTGGCTGTTATCATTAGTCATTATTAAGTTTTTTGAAAGCTGAATGTCAAATGGTTAGATATTGTTAAGGAAATCATTACCCACTGTGATTTGTAAAGTCAGCATAGAGGACAAGTAGTGGTCTTCCACTATCTGTTAAGGTTGAATATTTCTAAATGATTTGTGCTGAACTGGTTTTAAAATCGTTACCATAGAATTAAATGAATAAACTTTGAAACAAGAAGTTGTATAGACTTGATTTAATTTATTATAAGCAGTATATGTAATATTTTATAGACTTGATTTAATCTTTTATATACAGTATATGTAAAGTGTTCGGACGAGGAGACAGCTAACCTTGTACGTACCCACACAGAGATGATCCAGGTACTGTCGCTGTCGAGCTGTGTCAAGGTCAACGAAGCTCCGCCCACTGGTTGTGCTGTACAGACTGTATCTGCTAAATGTGAAACACACTTTATGATAAAGGTAGGTTATTTGTTGATATGTCAAAGGTCAGGGGAGGGGTGGTCTATTCTGTGAAGGTCAATGAGGCTTCGCCCACTGGTTGTGCTGTACAGACTGTGTCTGCGAAATGTGAAACACACTTTATGATTAAAGGTACTGGCATGCGAGCAGTTCCCGTACAAAAATCGTAGTTACTTAAACATTATTTTTTATTACGCTCACTCACCAAAATTTGAATGTTACACATCAATATTCGGCTCGTCACACAAATCATGGAAATTCCATCATGTTCTAAACATAGAATAACCCTTAGTTATGAGGCCTCATATGGGGTACAGAAATTATCCATTATTTTGTATGAAGAGAAGTAGTTCCCGTACATAAAATTTAACCCATTATAATTATACAATTTTGTTATATCGGACCTATTTTTCAATTATAATTGTTGAACAGACCATTTTCTTAGAGATAAATAGATGTAATTCAGGAAATAGAGCGTAGACTAAACGCTGGTATCTATTACCCGGTACTGTTACCCAAACGCATTCTCATACAATGGCATGCTTGAATGCATGATATTTTACGCATCAAAGCCATAAAATTATTTAATATAATAATATTGATAAAAATTCTGATAATTAAACATGTTTTCATCACATTGCCTACTTATCTGTAAACAGGGGGTATTAGTGGAAAACCCTTTAACAGGCCTCACGTGTAAGTATTTTAGCGCATGCGCGCAAGGACGGAATCCCCCAGAGAAAACAAGGTCACGTTTTGACAACGCACAGGTGAAAGTGATTTAAAATGAGACTTTTATACGTACTGCCGAACTGACACTTAGATTTTGTCTCTTTTATGCATCTACTTGATTTGAAATGAATTTTTGAAGATTGCAAGTAAAAATCAAGCGTTTAAATGAAAAATACGGGTACTGCTTCTGTACGGGAACTGCTCGCATGCCAGTAGGTTATAAGTAAATATGTCAAAGGTCAGTGGACGGTGGGTCTTGTATTCCTATGTCTACATCTCCACCCAGTAATTGTTGGTTTGAGTTATTTCCAGAAAGGTGCTTGAAAGTGGTCCTAAGAACAAACAGGCAATAATCACAATGAAGCTGACATAAATATATTTAAATTTAAAGTGAAATTTATATAAAAAAATATTTTATAAACTCATAGGTCATGGTTATTTGAAATGGCGGATAAAATCTAAGAAATTGGTGTTTTAACTTTTTTTCCTAAAGCTTATCATAAGAAAAGTGGGTATTTAGTTTTACAATCGAAGTTGTCAGTGGCCAAGTTGTTAAGGCGTAAGACTAGTAATTTAAGGATTGTTGGTTGCATAGGAACAAACCTTAGGGGCAAGCCATTGAAACCCTGAGCTTCAGCAAGAAAATTTACACTTAATTGCTTAGTACTGGTTGGTTCCAGGAACAAATATGGGAATACGTATACATAAATACCAAGTGCACATGTTGTGCACCTCTAGTTCAGATATAGTGCACAATTTGTGCATGAGGTTGGGAAGTTTAATGTGAACTGAACTGTAGATGTCCAAAGTAATGTTTTTTTTTGTTACTGCAGGATTTTATAGATATAGATAAAGAGTTGAAGAAACTGACAGGAAAGAAAGAGCGACTAGTTGGTCAACTACAGAAGATAGAAAGTTCAATGACGAAGGCCGACTATGAGACAAAAGTCCCTGAAGATGTGAGACAAAAAGAATCAGAAAAGGTTTGTAAACAAATATTGTAACATTTTATGATAGTATATGTCTGTGGCCAAGTGGTTAAGGTCATAGACTTAGACAGTTTATATACTCTGGTTGTAAAGAGAATATTAAAAAAAATAAAGATGTGGAAATATAAAGGTGAGCTGCTTTGGGTTGGAATTATATCTGGGACTAAGCATTTATTCATGTGAGGGAGCACTTTGCAAGTTGATTATTCTACACTGGCAGAATGCACGGAAGATCACCTAGGTTTTCATCTATCATTAAAGCTAGAAATTAGCCATATCAATGCCTGAAGAAAATCAAAATGTGTTTTATTTATGTTCAAGCTCTGTGCATATTTTGCATATTTTAGAATAGTTCAGATCTAACTGAAAGTATGATGCTAAGAATAATACCTGATTTCAAAGAAAGATAACTTTTGCCTCGGTCATGATTGTCTCCCTTTGACTAGAAATAGAGAAGCAAATTAATGTATCTTTGATCCTTGATACAACAGATAGAATTTAACTTTGATACTATTATTATAAAGAAGTGTTACTAAAAGAAACAGATGTCACTAAGAAGTTAGATTTTGGATTTTCTTATAGAAAAGTTTTGAGCAAAGAATTTAAAGTATGTAATTTAGAGACAATTGGGGCCTAAAATAGATAACTATTTTTATCTGCAATAACCAAACCTTAATGACATAGTTATTGTTTGTGAATTAGTGCTTGGTACAAAGTCAGTTCCTGTTACACAAGAACAATTACAGTTTTGCTGCATGTTGTAAAAATCACATAAACAAAATGAATTGTACTCAATTGAATGTTTTTAGTAATTTTTAAGTTCGGTATATATAATATTTTTTTGTTGTTATTTTTTCAATCAATGCTCCACTCCCTGCTGTGAATAGATTTCATTTTATCTTAAAAAATACTATTATCTAGAATATTTTTTTAATGTCTTCTAATAATTTTATCATTTATTTGATGTTCTGTATGTAATGATTTGTTTTTATTGATCTTTAAAAAAAAAATCTGGAATTATTTTTTTTAAATTTAATATACATATCTTTATTTGTGATGTTTTATCAATTTTTAATAATGTACCTTTAAGCTAGCTTCTTTAAAGAATTTTGTTATTGATTTGTGATGGATTGTATTCATAACTCTTCAAGCATTGCAGTTTAATAGTTATATCTTTATGCCCCCTACTACTTAGTGATCATGGAATATAGACTTGCCTTTGTTTGTCACTCTGTAATGCTGATTGTCTGTAGACTGCAGGGGACCTGTTGACACATTTGTAGTTTTTCATTAATCCTTTAAGGCCCATTATGCTGAAATGCTATCAATTTTATTTCCCAAAGACATATTATTTTCGAAATTTTGTTACAGTTTCCAAAAAATACTCATTTGCTTTATACATGAACTATCTTCTGCATCTTTTCTCCGTTTTCAATCGGTATAATTATAGTGAATGAGTATTTCGTATGGAAGTCAAAATACTGTTTTGTTTACAATTTGCTATCTTTATGACCATTATTGCACATTCAGCACTACTGTCTTCAGTTGTTTAGAATTAAATATGCTCTAAATCCATTGTTAAAACATTACTAGTAAACATGTTTGACCATTCCAAAGAAATGAAAAAAGGATTTCTTGTGCATAATGTACATTTAAATTTACATTTTACTTCTATTCACCTGCAAGCCAGTTCCTTAAATGAATAAAACCCTAAATGTGTTTCAGCCATATATAGTTTAAGTTTAACGATCTTTCAATAATTTTCACATTACATTATATATCAGATTTTTACAGTTTTCACTCCTGTTCATGCATCTTGCTTTAAAAATAATTTATTTCATGTATCTATGAGCCAGCCTCTTTAATTAAAATGAGAAGAAAAAAATACCCCAGCCTGTATGTTACAGCGATGTACAGTTTAACGAGGTGTCATGTATGACACTAATGCTTTAAAAACTTTATCTCCATTCATCAGAGAGAAAAAAAAAAATTAGGAATGTGCACGGAAGTGAATTAAATTGATCAGCTGCACAATTAAAAGCCTGAGTGTTGCACATCAGTTGATTTAGAGATGATATCTAGAGTCTACTGTGCCGTTGTTTATAATCGGTCCATGGAGTAAGCCGTATTGCATTGAATCGTCATACTTTATGTGACAATAAAACACGGTAGCTATCACTTTAAGTGATCACGTTGTGTGACTAGAAGCAGTTTATTAGTTTAAAACGTGTTGCAAACACTTTACTCTTTCAAATGCTCAAGGCCACAGCAAAAAAAAAAACAAAACATGAACGAATTTTAATTTATTTTTTTTTAAACACTATAAAATCATATTATTTTGTGTTTTATGGAATTTAGTTGCTTATTTTTTTGTATTTTCTATGCTGGTATCTTGGAAAACTTTATTTTAATCATCATTTTAAATGACTAATTTTGATAGTGGTTGTTAAAGTTGTACCAATATTATCAACATCATATGACAGCATGTCTGCTATTATTTTTGCAGAATGACATTTTATATGCATTATTTGAGTCATGTTTTAATATTTATTATATATTTTTCTTCTGCCAGAAAGGTAACAGATTGTTTTAAGTGAGGAAAGCTATCCCTCTAGTTAGAAGGTCAGTGGTTCTACTCCAGTGCCCACTTGTTCCTGAAATAATACATTACTAGGCATCTGTGGTGTCCCTCCCTCAATGGTAAATCTGGTCAGTGGTTCTACTTGGGTGTCCATTTTTTCCTGAAATAATGCATGGACGGGCACTTGCGGTCTTACCCCCTCCATCAGTAAAGCTTGAAGGTCTTAATATGCCCTTACCGTGACCATGTGACTATTGACCAACTGAAAAAATATACTTTTTTGATAATTATTAAATAAAAATTGTATTTCTTTTATATTTCAGAAATCAGAGTTGACACAGGAAATAGAGAAGTTAAGTCAAGCTATGGAAATGCTAAGCACGATGCAATAACCATGTGATCATTTAGGAAAATTAACTTGCGTTTTGAATCCGCTTTTACATTTCAACTAAGGAAACATAACACATGTTTGTTATTGTTACTGCAAGTGATTTTTATCATCAATGTGTTACCTTCAAAATTTTACAATTCTTTGAACCAAAAAATAGTTTTATTTTAAATCTGAAAGGGAGATTTAGGTTGAAATTCTGAAAAGGAAGAATTATGTGGAAAGGTAACAAAGTGATTATTTCTATTGAAAGTTTGAGTAACTAGGTGTAGGTTTGAAAAGTTAATTAAAGTTTTTCTATAAAAATAAAGGTAAAAGGTGTAAATTCATGTATACATGTGATTAATTTATTTTATGTTTACTGTCATCTCATGTGTTCATAATTTGTGTTAGTTTAGACAAAAAATTAAGTTTAGTCTCTTCAGCAAGAAATGATTTCTGAGGGTGACATGATTATCCTTGTATTCAAGTGTGACATGATCCAAGGGTGACATGATAATCCTTGTATCCAAGGATGGCATGGTATTCCTTGTATCTAAAAGTGACATGGTATTCCTTGAATCTAAGGGTGACATGGTATTCCTTGTATCCAAGGGTGACATGATAATCCTTGTATCTAAGGGGACATGGTTATCCTTGTATCTAAGGGTGACATGATATTCCCAGTATCTAAGGGTGACATGATAATCCCTGTATTTAAGGATGACATGATATTCCCAGTATCTAAGGGTGACATGATAATCCCTGTATTTAAGGATGACCTGATAATCCTTGTATCTAAGGATGACATGATAATCCTTGTATCTAAGGATGACATGATAATCCTTGTATCTAAGGATGACATGATAATCCCTGTATCTAAGGATGACATGATAATCCCTGTATCTAAGGATGACATGATAATCCCTGTATCTAAGGATGACATGATAATCCTTGTATCTAAGGATGACATGATAATCCTTGTATCTAAGGATGACATGATAATCCTTGTATCTAAGGGTGACATGATAATCCTTGTATCTAAGGATGACATGATAATCCTTGTATCTAAGGATGACATGATAATCCCTGTATCTTGTGACCTTTTGAGTACATTGCATTTATGATATGCTTTCATGCTATCGGTTTTAATGGAACTATTGCACAAATTCCTTTACCCTTTATGTATGAGAAATTCATAGAAGGAATTTTATATTATATGCTACAGTTTACAATTAACTCATATTTATCCTATCTGAAAACATACTTACAAATCATTTTTACTTGCCAAGTAAGATTTTGCAATTTAAAAAAAAAATATTTGAAGTAATGTCGAAGTTTTAGTGTTACAAGCATAAATTACTGCTGCAGGCATGATATTTAGATGAAAAAAATGTTGCTTACTGTATTTTTTAAGGCCCATATTAGAGATGCT